ACGTGGGGGCAGCAGGGCTTGGGGTAAGATACAGGGGAAGGAGGGCCTGGGGAGGGTGTGGCCGCCGCCGGGTCCTGGGGATTGTATCCCAGGGGCGGGGCAGAACTTCGGTCCCAGGGCTTGGGAACCCTCTGTGCGATGGGCGTCGCCTCTCGCACCCAGCAACAGTGACTCACAAAGCCAGAGCGCACAGAGCAGATGCCACCTCCCCTGGGCCCTGGAAGGCCTAGGTCACAAAGGCCATTGAGACCGAGCCCCGAGGAGGCATGTCTCAAGACAGCCCTGCGCAGCGCGCGTCCCTGCACCCCGCTACCTGGCTGGGCCTGGGCCTCCCGCCTAGACCCTGGCCCTGGGCGTTAGGGCTCGCGCAGAGCACCCGGTAGCCTCGACGCTCATGTGTGTCGTCTGCTTCGTGAAGGCGCTGGTGCACGTGTTTAAGATCTACCTGACCGCCAGCTACGCCTACAACTTCCGCAGCTGGCCAGTGGACTTCCGCTGGGATGACGTGCGCGCCGGCGGCGGGGGTGGCAGCAGTTACCGCGCGCTGACGTGCGCAGCCGCAGCAGCGGGCGTGTGGCTACTGCACGGCGCGGCGCTGGGCGGGGACGCGCCTGGGAGGCCACTGCACGGGGCGCGTAGCCAGGCACAGTGCCTCCTGCAACAGATCCGCGAGCTGCCGAGCCAGCTCGCCAGCTACGCACTGGCTCACTCGTTGGGCCGCTGGCTCGTGTACCCCGGCTCCATGTTCCTGATGACACGCGCGCTGCTGCCACTGCTGCAGCAGGGCCAAGAGCGCCTTGTGGAGCGCTACCGCGGCCGGCGCGCCAAGCTGGTGGCCTGTGACGGCAATGAGATCGACACCATGTTCATGGATCGCCGCCAGCACCCAGGCAGCCAGGGCCGCGGCCTGCACCTGGTCATCTGTTGCGAAGGCAATGCCGGCTTCTACGAAATGGGATGCCTGTCGGCGCCGCTGGAGGCTGGCTATTCGGTGCTGGGCTGGAACCACCCGGGCTTCGGGGGCAGCACGGGCGCACCGTTCCCTCGGCACGACGCCAACGCCATGGACGTGGTGGTCAAGTACGCGCTGCACCGCCTTCACTTCCCGCCTGCGCACGTGGTGGTCTATGGTTGGTCCATTGGTGGTTTCACGGCCACCTGGGCCACCATGACATATCCGGAGCTGGGTGCGCTGGTGCTCGACGCCACCTTCGACGACCTGGTGCCGCTGGCCCTCAAGGTCATGCCCCACAGCTGGAAGGGGCTGGTGGTGCGCACCGTGCGCGAACACTTCAACCTCAATGTGGCGGAGCAGCTGTGCTGCTACCCCGGGCCGGTGCTGCTGCTCAGGCGCACGCAGGACGACGTGGTCAGCACCTCGGGCCACCTGCGCCCCCTGCCGGCCGGCGACGTGGAGGGCAACCGCGGCAACGAGCTGCTGCTGCGCCTGCTCCAGCACCGCTACCCGGCTGTGATGGAGCGCGAGGGCCTCACTGTTGTGACCCGCTGGCTGCGCGCAGGCAGCCTGGCACAGGAGGCCGCTTTCTATGCGCGCTACCGCGTGGACGACGACTGGTGCCTGGCACTGTTGCGCTCCTACCGCGCGCACTGCGAGGACGAGCAGGAAGACGAGGAAGCCTGGGGACCACACGGGCTCTCGTTCCCGTGGCTCGTGGGCAAGGGCCTGAGCTCGCGGCGGCGCCGGCAGCTTGCGCTGTTCCTGGCGCGGAAACACCTCAAAAACGTGGAGGCGACCCATTGCAGTCCGCTGGAACCTGAGGATTTCCAGTTGCCCTGGAGGCTGTAGCCCGAGCCCCTGCGGCAAGTGGCGAGTACGCGCATTCGCACACTGGCACACCGGGCGGGGCCTCAGATTCGTTCCCCCCACCACCCCCAAACAGTAAAGCTGGCCCCGCCTGGCGATCCTGACCTGGTGTCTGGAGGAGGAGGAGAGGGCGGTCCCGCTCCCTGCTTTCTCTCCCACCTCAAACACCTGTGGCCGTCCTAGTCTGCTCCCAGCTCCTAAAGGGAATGCAAGGATTAACCTGACCCAATTAGCGGCAACGCTGTGTGACTGGTGCCTTGATCAGCTCAAAAGGATGGTGGGAACACAAGGCTGTGGGGCCCCAGGAGGTGCCTTTCACCTGGCCTGGGTTATAGGATGGCTCTGGGAAAGATGAATGTTGAAGGGTCTGTACAAGTCACCCCTAGCTGTAAAAGGACATTGGCATTGGAGTCCTATAAAGCAGGTCTTGGCAGCTGGAGTGTGATGCTGCTGCTCTGTAGGGTCCCCTTCTCACCTGCTGGCTTCTACAGGAGGGATTCACAGTGGGACCAGAGATTCAAAGTAAAAGGTACACACACATACACACCTGCATCGACCACTCAGCGCTGGGAACCCCCTTGACCCAGGCCTGGGCTCAGGGTTGCAATACAGAGATAAGTCCTCTGCCCACTGCTGTCTGTAATACGGCCGCCTCCTTACCATCTGCCCTGAACTGCACGAAGCAGGGACTACTGACTGTCCCTAGTCTCTGGGGACAGGAGCTGGCTTGGGTGAGTTGAGCAAGAAACTGGAAAAACTGAAAAAGACAAGTGGGGCAGACAGAATTGACAGCACCAGAGCTGAATACGGCCATGATGCACTTGGGCAAATGCAAGCAGAGGTAGGTACCTAAGGTGACCAAAGTACCAGGAGGATGTCTGTGACGAGGTGAGCTTTGAGCTGAGGCAGGAAGAGGAGTTAGGTGAAGGAAGGGGCTTCCGTGCCTAGCGATCAGAGTGGCTTGGCTGGAAATGTGGAGTACAGTTCCGGAAGGGTTAGAGCCTAAAGGGTTTGAATATCATGTAAGGATTTGCTTCCAGGGGCGATTGGGAAACAAGGGAAGTTGTGGGACTTGTCTTGGGGGGACAGGTTGCCAAACGGTTACGAACCTCCCCTTTAAGAAGTTAGGCAAACCCTTGTTCACAGTCAGCTGGAAGCCCCTCAACTAGCTGTCACCTTAGCCAAGTTACTCTAACCTCAGTTTCCTCATCTGTAAAGTGGGAAAAGCTCCACCTGGTTCCCCCGGTGGCTGTGAAAAGAAAGTGAGACGACACCGGGTACACGCCGGGCCGGGCCGGAGGACGCATGAGGGCTTCCCGGCAGGCCGCCTGCGCGGGGACCGAGACGCCTTCAGCCATGTGGGGGCAGCGTCGCCTGCAGGGCAAGAGGACGGATCGCGATCACGCTTTTTTCTGCGCGTCCCCATACAAAAAAAAAAATCCCTGTAAACAGACTTAAGGAAAAAAAAGAGACTAAGAAATGCTAACCCCCAAATCATGGGGTCCGGCCTCGAAGGAATCGCAAGCGTTCCGAGTCTGCCCAGCCAAAGGTGCGCGCGCCCAGTGGCTCGCAGGGAGCGGCAAACACCCGCGACACCCCCAGGAGGCCCGGTGCCGTGTTTCCCTGGCGCCATGTTGGGCAGTCCTCCCAGTTCCCACCCGCCCCGGGTTCCTTCGGACTGTTCTACCTGTGCGTCTCGCTGGTGGAGCCGACCTGGGCGGGATTCATTCGGAAGGCGGCCTCCTTTTCCTGCTTCGTCCGCAGCCGTGGCCAATCAAGTTGGACCGGAGGAACGGG